CCTGTCATAAAAACACATTTTGATGCCTGAAACCCTCTTGTTTTGGTGGTATTTTTATGACGATAATAATAATAATTATTTTTATTATTATTATTGTCATGACCAGCTGCGGATATGTCGAGCAGGGAAGCACGGGAGTACAGGATACGGGGAAACTCAGGGTTTATTCAGGTGAAAACAGCGAACATGGGAATCGTAAGCAACAACAGCGAAGGACGTCAATGACAAGACTGGGGAAACGTACTCGAACTCGGACTGAAATGCACAGGACGCAATGGAAATAACAAGACATAGCTGATAACAATCGGGATTTCACACGAGGTTAATGAGGGGGCGTGGCACACAGGAGGATCAGAGGAGCAGGGCGTGACAATTATTATTATTATTATTATTATTTATTAAAACTGATTCTATTTTTATTTCATTTTTTCTTTATACTTATTTTAATTATTTTAAATGTCATTAAAGCACTTTATAAACCCTGTGGATAAAGATCAATTGATTGATTGATTGAATGAATGAATGAATTAATGCTGTTTTATGCTCAAGAAATTTACTTATCAGAAAGAAACAGTATACATACAGTAAGCTATAACTCACACCTAAGTAATAACAAAACAGCTTGTTAAATAAATATTTACAATAATTAACAGGGTGGAGAGTAATTACCTTATGAAAGTCTGCCTGTAGCCCTTCAGGTGTGTAGAAATTGACAGTCAAGATATCAACTCAATCCATCTGCCACAATCAGGGTCAGCGGGTCTTAGAGAGTCTATGTGAGGACTTACGGGGCACAAGGTAGGGGACACCTTCCACATTGGGATTTGACTTATTCTCAGAAACAGCATCCTGAGGCTGGAACAGCTGCTGAACTCCGGGGCATGTATGGATGTTTCTGCAGCCACCGTTCACCTTGGCCCTCTAATCCACACCCTGGCAGTCCTCAGCCAGCACATGCACCACCTGAGGCAAGTCTTTGCCGCCATCCATCTCAACCCCTAGAACTGTAGCCTGCTGTGCGGTGAGACATTGTTCCTGGGTCAAGTAGTGAATATCAAAGGTGTGGCAGCTGTATGGGACAGGCTTGGTCCCTGAGGCATCACGGTATCCTGGGGTTGGTGTCATATTACTTATTTTTAAAATACTGATTTTTAAAATATTAAATGAGTCTGGGCCAGGACAATGTGACTTTTTCTATATAGTTGGATACCTGATGTGTACTGAGAAGTTGATATTTGCCTGGCACAGAGAGGTTTATGGTATTAAAACAGGCATGGGAACCTGGCTTCTCATTCACACCTTTGTGCGCTATAGTATGACATGCCTTGTTTCCATCTGATTTTTAAAGTTTTAAATCAGTCTGGGCCAGGACAATGTCACTTTTTCTATATAGTGGGATACCTGACGTGTACTGAGAAGTTCAAATTTGCCTGATTGGGCATATTTCCGGGCCTGATTGGGAGTAAAAAGATGTTTGCGTTTGTCTCATTTTCCGATAAAATACACACATACTATTACTGAAACTGCCCAGATATATACTTTCCTCAAAGTGGTAACAAGTCAGTAGAATCGTGTTCAGCCAAATGAAGTTCTGAAGATAATAAGTCTCGCTAAATGAGTCCCCCTACAGGCGCAATCGCGTCATTGCATTCGGATGCGCAGCATTTCAGGTGGACCGGAAAATCCGAATAAGGAGCCAACTTGAGCCTCGTCAGCTACTCTTCAGCGAAATCTGAAGCCCAAAAAGGCAAAAACATTCTGTGAGTAACAATACTTAGTAACAACTTTACTGAAAGGAATAAGTACAAAGTTGTGTCCCTAATGAGGCTGCAAACGCTATCATTGCCGTGATTCAGTTAATGCAGTACACATCTTGATGGAGAACTTCTGCAAAAATGCCTTTCACAAATACGCCAGAGCTTCGGCTTTAAACGCTGCATTACTGAAATACAACCCACAACTCTTGGGCGTTCAGCTCCGTAAATGTAGAACGTGTCAGTTTTAGTTAAGTGCAAACCACCATGCTCGGCAAACATGACAAGCCACGCCCCACAGAGCGTTTTGGGGAAAACAGTGACGCGCACGCAGCTACCCGCAGTGCATGATGGGTACCGCACGCCAGCCGCAATTTCCCGATTAGTTCCGAAACTATGGAGGTGGCACTGATTGTCAGGGTATTAAATATGGGATGCCGACGTTAGGATATCACCTTTATGACTTACAGATACCGACAATTATTTTTTTTCACATAATGTTGTCTGGGCGTTTCGGATATTATTTCATTAGCTACTGCAAGCTATACATCTTAAGTGTTTAACAAAGTTTAAACGCAGCCCTGTAGGTACGTGGCTAGCAGTTTATTTATCTTACCAACTAATGTTTGGCTATTATAGATTTAATATTTTTACAGTATTATGTATGCATGTAATATAAACATCGTGGTGTTTTTTTGCATTCAGTTTTGCATGTGGTGTTCTGGGATAGCTTACCGGCAGATGTACATCTTTATTTCTTGTTTGATGACCAGCATATACAAGTATGTGCTAAGTCATAATCACTAATTCTTTACATTCATTCAGGTTTAACGTCATACGTAATGAGAATAAACGAGAACACCTTGTTGGAAGGGAAACAAGTCTTTTTAGTGCCTTACAATGCAGACCATGTACCCAGGTATGACCAGACACTGCACATTCCATACATAAATTGATTGCACCAGTTGTGTATTGGCTGTAATAGTGGTTATCACTGTTACCTTACCACTTTAGGGTGTTTGAATCCTGTTTTCACTCTGCGTGTGTTTGCACATTTGCACCTTGTCATTCATGTTTCCTCCAAAGTCTAAAGACATTGCTAATTGCAGTCTCTAAATTGCCCATATTGTATGTGAGTGCCCTGCAATATAATTGTGTCTATGGTCTAGTCCAGCCTTGTCCTGCCACTCCTTGTGATTCAGTCCAGGATAAGCAGTTGATTGAGTTGGTGGCTTTTACATTATGTACCTGTGATTATGTAGACTGCGTGTATTCCTCACCAGGTATCACCAGTGGATGTGCTCTTCAGAGCTGCAGAAGCTAACTGCCTCAGAGCCGCTCACTCTAGAACAGGAGTACGACATGCAGAGGAGCTGGAGGGAGGATGACGACAGTGCGTGAACCATTCATGGACACTTATAGTGCAGTGAACATAACAATCTTTGAAATATAAAGTCATTTAGAACAGAGCTGAACCTAGTTCCTTCTGCCGTGCATTTGAGGGAGTTGTAAATATATGGAGCTCGGTAGATGGGTAAAAATTGTCAATTGTCATCCATGCAAGAAAATGATAGAAAATATAAAAGTAATGTATGACAGTGAATACCATTGGCAGTATTCATAATATATTATTTTGTCCTTCCCTTAAGAGTGCACCTTCATTGTCCTTGACAAGCAGCGATGGGCAGACCCTTTATTCCAGGAGCAGGAATGCATGGTGGGAGACGTTAACATTTTCCTCATTGAACCCAATGACCCATCTGTGGCCGAGCTGGAGATCATGATTGCAGGTGCTGGTGTATGAGAGCTTGTCCCTCATGAAATAATGGTTTGAGCCTGTAAATGAGGAGTTTTGTGTTGCATCGTTTGTTTTCTTTTATCTGTCCTGGTTAGAACCAAACTACAGAGGAAAGGGCCTTGGAAAGGAGGTGACCCATATGATGATGTGTTATGGTACGACATCCGGATGCTGTTTTCCAAATTGTACTGATAGTTTATTTCTTCCCTGAAACTAATCAATTTGCCTTGGCAGTAGTTTCTGATTTTTGTCATTTATAGGGGTCACCAAACTCGGAATCCGCAAATTCGAAGTCAAGATTGGCCTGGACAACAAAGTCAGCATTGCTATGTTTAAAAAGTTTAATTTCCATGAGGTATCGTAAGGCTTTTTGTGTTCACCGTTTTCTTTAACTTAAGCAAGTAATATTCGGCGCTATCCTGTACACGTAACTGGTCAATTTGAAACACTGAACTCCCTTTTTATGGGAAATAACTCAAAAGTATGGCTATGCTATAATTCTGTTATGCTGGTGAGAAGTCATGATATGTAGATGGCATCACATCCCACCTTATGCCTGCAGGTATCCGTGAGCGAGGTCTTCCAGGAGGTAACACTGGAGCTGGCAGTGGACGAGGCCTTGCGAGATCGGCTAATGGAGGACATGAGCTTCCTGCAGGAGAGGGAGTACCACAAAGCTCAGGAGAGCAGGCACACTGCTACAGGCCATGACGTTACAAACGCCCGTCGGCCATAGAGTGATGTTGGAGCCAATTTCTTTACTTGCTTCTGAGCAAGTCTGACAGAAAATTTTGTACCCTTAAGCTGATTTTGCCGCTGGAGAATTTTAAATATTTTTTTTTACCTTTTATCAGTAAACATCATATAGAATACTCAAATTGGAAGAAATGTTGAAATGTTATTGTTTAGGAACTTTGTGGCAGTTTGAAAAAAACAGCAGTACTACAACTAAGGTTTCCCAGGATCATATTTCTGCTTAAGAAGCTGTGCTTAGCTTAGCAGAAATGCTACAGTATTGCCTTGGTTACCCACAGACCAGTGGGGCAAGATCTTACAAAAATAAAAACGTTCTCCACGGATTCCTTATTCACTCAACTGTGAATTAAAGCATTTTCTAAATGTAAACATCCACCACACAAAGAAAACATGGAAAATAAAAGCTGCAGCGTCTCATTTAAAATGTGTTATATCAGTGCAGAAAGTCAATGTACTTAATTCAATGAATGCAGAATTAGTTTAGGGTATTTCAGTACTTGGGATAATGCTCTGAAAATTAAGAACAAGGCACACAAGTCCTAATTCTTGCTGAAAGGGCAACCTCAGTCAGATGCCAGAATTGTTAATCACTGTGCTGACATCACGGCAGGCAGGCGGGAGATCATGCACAAACACCCCCCACAGCCAGGATGAGCACCTCCCATCCTCTCCTGTCAAACTCAGAGACCTGCTTTTGAATTGGCAGCAGTTTATTTGTGGTCATCATGCACAGTTAGCAAAAACCACCTATCACTGAGTATAGCTAGACATCGCCGACTAAAATGCAGGAATTGACCTGTGTTCTGTTCAGATTTCTGCCCTTTTTGTGGATCCAGGCACATATTTTGTGGACACAAACACATACCCAAAAAAGCTAGGAAGAAAAAACCTGAAATGCAGCCTTTCGTTCACGTATTCAGGAGAGAAATAGCGCCGTTAATGTAAAGTATTTTAAAAGGCAGGTCTCTGCAAGTGGAAGACTCAAACATACATTCACGTTGCATTTCACAAGTTAATCAGGTAAGAATTTGGTACTGCTTCATTTAAGGAACAAGAATCTAAACTGGAATTTTTAACTGCAAACATGCAAAACAATTAATATTCCAGGATGTTCTTTTACGGAATTTATATTACATTCTTCTTTCCTTTAGCATGTATCATTGGTAAGACGTACAGTAAGAATAAGGCTACTAGGCACTAAACACCAGGGATAAGCTGCTTCTGCTTTCTGAAATTTCACATTTACAATGTCACAAGATGTACAGAAACTGCCTTAATGCATTTTCTGGTCATTGTATGGAGCTGGCAGTGATTAAAAACAAAACAATGAAAACAGATGACAATTCCATAGGAATTTTAGCCGCACTGCCATCCCACCCTCCGTCAACATGCAAGGGCCTCCAGAGGGTCCAGGTGACGGTGGATGGAGCCGGATCTCATGGCTGCTGCTTGGAGAGCTTCTGTAGAATGTTCCTCAACACCTCCTGCCCCTGAGCCCAGGACAGCGCCTCCTCCACGAGCATGTTGAGGGGAGCGCAGGCTGCCTCTTTCCTCAGGCTGGTCATGTGACACACAGCCACCGCCCCAAACGCACCTCCCAGAAGCATCACCACCAGCTTCAGCAACACACCCAGGATGGAGCGCTTGCTTTTTGGGACCGACTTTACCGCCACTGGCCGATCTGGAGGGATCATTAAATGGGGGGGGGGAAAAGTGTGAAAATTAACTTTTGGGAAGGCTGGGCTAGAAATAGGCTTCTGCCTCTGTAAAATTGCTCTGGAAGGAAACTGAAGAAACTTTAGGAATAACAGAACTGAAAATGAAAATGGAATGAGAACAAAAGCAGAAAACCATCCCTCCGGAGGAAATTCAGGAAAAAGGCATGGAATATCTTGCAAATTGTTAAAGGGATTTGTAAGAGGAATATTTAGCATTTCCATGCTCCACATGCACTTGCTAAAGTGTTTGTCAAATACAGAAAATACTGTCACAAAATTAAAAGCTCATGTAATGCTACGACTGCTACATGCCCAAACATGGACAATGCCATTCTAAAACTGTCCAGCTACTGCAGAATGCTTGAGTCACCATAATCTGGAAGAGCCTACTTGATTCCAGAATCTAAAACCTTACGGAGGAATTACGGTTGAATGAACCCCCTCTGACTCACCCTGCCTTGGTTTTTCAGGTTTCTGTTCTTTCCGTTTCTCCTGGGCTGCCTGGGCGGCTCTCTGGGCATCAAATTCTCTCCTTTTCCTCTCTTTCTCCTCCGCTTTTTCTCGCTTGCGCGCCTCCTTCTCCTTCGCCTCTCTGGCCCTTTGTTGTGCCTCCTTTTTCTTTTCCCTCTCTGGAGGAATACAGTGAGTTTTTTTTTTTATTGTATCACTCGGCAGCTGAAGTGGGGTTACATCCAAATCACTTACCACCAAACATCAGCATATACCTACTATACGCTACAATGCATTTACGTAAAGGATTGTAGCAGAAAGTTTCCTCACTCACTTCATAGCTATGGCCAACCTGACAAAGATGGAGGATACGACGGCAGATGTACCCACCTCTCTCCTTGTGCAGACGTCGCTCGCGTTCCTTGTCTGCCTCCTCTTGCAGGGCCTTCATGTGCTGGAGAACCTGAAGGACAGCAGATACATACCCGAGGTGACTCCAAATAAGCATAAACACTTCAGGGCAAAAAAAAAAAAATGGGCCATCCCAAATTGCACACTAAGCTTTGGCCCATTTGTTTTGCCCAGGGGCAACCCAAGCGCTCCGCTTATCTGTGCATCTGACATTTTCCCACTAATTCAGAAGAAATAGAAATCATGTAACCATACACAACCTTTTCTATTGCTATAAAATGGGGCCATTATTTCCATGTTAATCTACAGAAAAGTAAGCAAAAATACAAGGTCTCAGCTTCGCTGTGGTGTCATTTTAATGCGCTACTGTGAGCCCTGCAAGGCATCTTTGGAGAGGCTGTGTATATTAAGGTGTGTAAACTGCAATGAGCTGGGGGGAATAATTATGCATAATTTAAAAAGTACAGAATAAGGAGGAATTCTGCATTGATTAAATAGACAAAACTTCCTCCTGCACTACAGTTATCACAGTGTAAGAATGTTGTTTTGCAAAGTTAATTAATAGCTATTGAGAGATGACCAGAAATATATGCAGCAGCTGAAGTCTCTTCACCCCTGTCACTAGGTGGTGTCTGATGGAAACTCTAATTGCACTGTTTGACTGGCATCACCTTCAAAATCAGCCTTACCTTGGTGGCACACTGCTTGCACTGCTTCTCATCCAGACAGTCTCCAGCCACCTTCGCTAGCGTAGGCTCCAGTGGATTATCCTTCAGGTCCAGCCATTTCAGATTCTGCAAGATACCAAAGAAGACACTGGGCTATATCATGGCACCATACACTAAAGGATACCTAACAGTAAAGGGAGAGAGATGGTACAATGTATTATGCAATAATGACGCATTATGTAATAACAAAATGTCAATGAAGAAATCCATCTTGGTTGTATTTTACATAATGCACAATATTCCATCATTAAAAAGTGCAAGTCCCACATTTTGTAATAACCGCAGCAATATTTAACAAATTATTACAAAATTCAGGGAAATGTATAACAGTGTTCAAGCTGTCTATTACAAAATGCAGCAGATTATTACAAAATGCGGGTGCTATTACATAATAAAGTGAATGTCACATTTTGTCAAGTTATTACATAATGTGGAATTATTACATTGTGTTTTTAACGAGAGATCAAATAAGCAAACCAAATTTCTGCAAATATTCAAAACATTTTAGCAACTAAGCTGATGTTTAAGAGGACATGTAGTTATATTCCATTTATACAGCTGGATATTTCACTGGGACAATTAAGGTAAAAAAAAACTTAAACAAGGGTCCCTCTTGCATCACCCAGGTTACAAGCGGGTCTACATCTACCTGAAACGTCATGTGAATTCAGGATATAATTTGTAACCTCTCTGTACTTGTAAAGTTTATAATTCAACAGGGAGCCTGCATCACATGAATAATTCCAGGGGTGCAGGAGAGATTTTTAAAGGGGGGGGGGGGGGCAAACACTGAGCAAGATATCTAATCTTTTAAGCTTATCCAACCATGCTTGATGCGATGGCTGCTGATCTGCCCCTTTCTTCACCACCACTTCAGTGCTTATTGCTTCCATGATTTACCAAAACAGTAGCATGTGGCGTGCTCCGCTAACCAAATTTAATAAACATAAGGATATGCCTTATACAGACTACTGACATTAATATTTTAGGCATACTACTAATCTGCTTACCAAACTGTGAGCATAAGTAAACGTCCGTATAGTACTGAAAAGCCAGTGTCCGGACAAATGTTTAGATTAGATAGCACTTTATTAATCCCTCAGGAAGGTTCCTCCGGGAAATTTAGTAATGTAGTAGTTTATGCCGATCATCTGGATGATTATTGCGTATGGGCCATATAATTGCAATTGTGTCATGATGTGTTATCGCGCAGCCCTACTTTATTATAGATTTGTTTTTCCTCCCTTTAAATATGTGTGTGTGTGTGTGTGTGTGTGTGTGTGTGTGTGTGTGTGGAGGGGGGATCAGGGTCCCTATATAAATGTGGGATCATGTCCCTCCCCATCGCTCACCTACCATCTGCGCCCCTAAATAAAGTCTATGGCACAAACAAACAAACACATCCACAGGACGTATATTCTCAGGACCTTACTGTCATTTTCATAAATACGACTCTGGCTATAACGAACACTCTTTGCCTGCTAATTCTACCTTTTCTCCCCAAAATTTCATTCATTGTGTAGACTAAATCGCAGGGATACTGATCACTTACCCTGAGCTGGGAAAAACTTAGTGGTAGAGAGGTGAGCTTGTTGTTGTACAGGTCCAGGTGCTGCAAAGCAACAAGCCGCCCCAAATCCGCCGGCAGGCTGACAATTTGGTTTTTACTTAGGTCTATCTTCACCAGGTGCGTCAGACTGCAAAAATCAGGCTGCAGGACAGACATACATAAACACAAAAAGAAAACCCTACAAAAATGCTTAAAAATCAGCGATTCGTAGCTACAGATTTGGCAAACAGACTAATTACCGGAAATTTTCATGGCAATGATTTAGGTGGGACACTTACGGGAAGCGAAGTTAGATTATTACAGGAGAGGTCCAGCATCGTGGCTTTAGGGAAAGCGGCCTGTCAGTAGTATTCAGGGAGGGCATCGTCAGTTACTGTCTGTAGCACCAGGCGCACAAACACGGCCGTACAACGTTCAGCTACGACTTAGAACAGCTAATCTATCTGGGACGATCATCAACTGCGACAACCATCAAAACATGATTATCAAGTTAACGTTACTCAAAAGCCACATCAACAAGGAAGGTAAAGCTGCACGCATGCAGAGTGCACACCCTCCAGCGCAGCTAGGAATACTGGAAGAAGATTTACCAGTTCTTTGACGGGTACTTCCGTCAAGTTAGAAAGGCTGAGATCCACTTCGTTGTCATTAATCTTGTCCCTGAGATTCAACACTTTGTTCTTACTCATTTTGCCTGTACAAAACAAGAAAGAAATTTACATTAGTACGCATTATGGTATCACGTACTTTTTTCGTAACTATATTAACTGTGATCTGAAACAACGGACTGCCGCTAAAACGCTGACATGCACAAACTACACACAGACGACCGCGGTAAAAGAAAGAAAGAAAAAACTTCAGTTAAAATTTCACCAGACATGAGTGGTGAGTATAAAACCGTAGCTTTATGTATCCTAAATAGCACCAACTAGGTGGTTAGTTAACCATATATGCATGATAAGGAAAACACTCACCCTGAAAGCTGCCGCGCTATAAAAATGAAAACACCTTGTTGTCAGTTAGACAAAATTACTACTCGTTTATGACAGCAAACTAAACTTTATCGGGTGGACTACTTGGTCAGTCGTGTAATAATTTCTGACAGTTTTCTTGCAGTGTAGTTAAAATGAATGTCCACGTCATTGATTTGAGCAGCGCCAGTCCAGTTGGCAGTAGGGGTACGTCACCGGGGGAGTATATCCTGACGGAGAAGTGGCGCCACCTATATGCTGGAGGAACACACTACAAACACTCCGACGCGTCCTCTTATCCCACCTAAACAACGGCATGATTAGCCTGAGTTTGTTACGTAATGCTGGACATTTATATGTATTGTTCAAAATAAAGAAATCATATTTCATACATTCAGTTCTCTTTACTCTGTGTGGGAATTGATTGGTTAGTGGTAGAATTCTCACCTGCCAGTACGATGGCAGCTCTTAAATTTACTTCATTCATTTTTTTCAAATGCTCACCTGAGGATTTAATTCTTTTAAATTCCACAAACAATAGGTTTCAAATATCTTTGAGGTATTATAAAATGTGGGATATGTAGTGGAAAGCACGGAAAATACTCGAGGACAAGCGTCCTTTTAAAAATAAGAAAACTTGATGAAAGGGGGACATTTGCCTGATGCTGGTCTGGGTGAGAGTAGGAATGCTGAGCAGGGGACAGGGTAAGCTATACGCAGACAGGCAGGAGTGCGCCAGAAGATGGTATGCAATATGAATACACGGAGTGCCTCGTAATAGTACATGTTAGGTTGTCAGTCATGTAGTCAGTTTAACATACAGTCTTAATCACACAGACATAACATAAAACAAGCAGTCGCATTTATAACAAACAAAACATATCAAACAGGAAGTTTGTGACGACGAAAGTACCTATATGCAAATATATAGCATATGTTTTTACATATTTCAGTGTTTTACCCAAACGTAAGTGTGGACAGTAATCATTTCAGGAGTCTTTCAGAAATAGCGTGAAAAATGCCATCATTTAGATATAATTTTTTACAATGACTGCATTAAAATAACAATTAAGTATACAGACATATACATAAATACCCATGCGCTGCAAATGACTGTAAAGAAGAGAGTACTGTGTATGCTACATATGTACAACAAAACAATCCAAACTATTTCCATACAATTTAGTATGAACATATTTGCAAATGAATTAACAGTATAAGTAATCGTAGCAATTAAGTCGCTGGTGACCGTCTCCACATAAGTTCGCCTAGAATAAAAAGTTTTCAGAAATTGTCTTTAAAATCTCAGGACCGCGCCGCAAGTTCATAGTGGCCAAATATATCGTAGCGCTGGCGCTGAAGGTGGCGCGTGTTTTAATAACGAGGAGAGCAATACGATATTTTGGTCACAAAGCGGCGTTTATTCACTGTTTACCACTCGCACTTAAATACACTCACACTGCCCACCGTGCTGGTCACCCCGACTACTCACACCACACACGGTGGGCACACGTACATTACTACACGTGACGTCAGTATACAGTAAAACAACACCACAATACACGACAAAATACAGTACTATTTACATTATTTACACTGTTGGCACTGGGCCAGCATGCTGTGCTTCCTGATGGGCACCCTCGGCGCTACAATATATTATATATGTAGTGGTTGAATTGTTTGCATCTGTGTTTGTTTGTATCTGTATATCGGGCTATAGAAATATAATCAACCTCTGAAATAAAACTCTCCATGGCCACAATTTAAAATGGTAATTAATATGTTATCAGACTTCAGAAGGTATAATTCATCCTGCCACTCAAAACTACCCTCTACTGTGGTTCCCAAGGCTCAGTGGTGGTCTGAGATGTATTCCGAACTTGTGGATCATATTCGCTGTCTACTGCGATGGCCACAAAAAAGGTTTCAGTAACAAATACAGGTTATAATGCAACTGGTAGAAATGAAGGCGCACACACTAACCTTGCCAATAAGCACATACCTTTGCTTTTAAGGACAAAAAGTAGCGTAATGATATTTGCTATAGGGAGAATAAAATAGAAGTAGATTTAGTCAAATATCTATTTTGTTGACGCTGCATTTTTATATTAAAAAGAGCAGGTACTGGAGGCATTTTCCTCTAGCCTACTGTATCAGTGATGTTTTTCAGCAAGACAGAGATGTCCAGCGGCATAGTCTATCTGAAGGCCAGTTTCACTCCTTTCAAGCAGTGGTGAAGAAAGAAACACTATCTTTTGTGAGAAAGAAGAGGACAGGCTGCACAAAGCGGACGGTGTGAAACTGGGCCCTCCTCCTCATTGTGAGCAGAGCACGGAATTCCCACTAGCTAAGCTAATTGTGTGAGGTAAGTGTGTGAGGCGCAATGAATCACAATGACACGACTTACAAAATTATTAGTAGTAGCTGCTTGAGAACCTCAGCCGGCAAAGACGAGTGGAACAAAGCTGCCTTTGTTCCCATATTTTAATTGCCGAAAAGCCAAGAAGGTGCAAAGCTTCACAAAGCTCTCTTCTTCAGTTTCAGATGTTTTACACTGTTCGCATTTCCCACTAGATACCACTAACCTTAAAAGTTACAGGTCAGCCTAATCTTCAGCATTGAGATGTTTAGAATTCCGTTGGTAGGGCTTCATTGGTTAGAGGTGACTAACTACTACTACTACTACTAATAATAATAATTTTCTCCTATCCCATCTTGCTCTCCATGACATGTATGTGAGAGCAAGCTTGTCAGTGAAGGGCAGCCACCTGCACTGGTGCCCATAGAGGTTTATGGGCCTTGCTGAAGGACTTATGGACATATGATTGTTCTGCTGAAGCCAGGCCACACACTGTCCACTACAAACTTTGCCAGGGTTCAATCAGAGAGGGATTCCACCACCCCTTCACTCCCTGTACTGTACCTGATTGTGTCTAATTGCATCTTTATCTCTTCAGGGTCATGCATCCATGTGCAGTGATGTGCGACTCAGGACGCCGCGCCCAGGATCAGAAGGTCACCATTGCAAGTCTTGTGGTCAGCAGAGTGATTTCACCACTGGGCTCTTGATGCTAGGAGCCCCATGGACGGCCTGACCCTGCTTACAATGCTTTGGATAAAAGCCTTTGGTAGCTAAAGGCATGTAAATGTGTCCAGATGGCCGGTGGGGTTCATGACTATAGCTTTCTACTCACACTGGGCAGTTGATTTCATGACTGATAGATAAATATGTACATGCATTTACAGCAATTTTGAACTTTACTATCCACACATTAAAGCTGGAAGGAAACTTTATAAATGATATTTATAAGTAGTTATAGTTTATATGTCATCATGATGATTGAACAAAAGTCTTTGGCTCCAAATAGGGTAGGTCTGGGTGCCACATAAAAATACATGTAAGGAATCCTACAAACAGTGGGTTAATTCCTGCAGCTCACTGACAACCTAATGCAACTTAACTTTTTAGTTAAGGTCCTTTGTGCTTCTTCTTATTCATGGATTTTTCAATTAAATACATGGTTTTTGTTCAACTTGTAATGTCAAAATTAATGTACTATATTACAAGAGTGTTTTTGTTACGAATCTCTTTTTGTAAAAAAAAACAAAAACACTCACACTACAGCTGGATCCCTACAGCTTTTCTATGCTATTAATAGATGGATGGATGAATATCTCTCTTTAACATGTAACATTTGTGATTCTAAAAAAGAAAATAAGATGTATCTCAGTAGAATGAGCTGAAGCGGTGGACAGACTTTACTGCACGTGGGTTTATCAGAGTCCTTCTAGTTTTTGATGATGTGGTTTTAGGACTTTGTTGTGGAACTACCCACCTGTGAGGAGGAACGTGCTGATTAACGCAACTGCATTTGGCCTCCCGCTGAGCGGAGGTTTAACTTTTAGCTGTTTAGGAAGCAGGTAGTGGTGTGTTTGTGTGTATGGACTAGAGACTAGAGCCTCTTTACCAAAGGGTGACATGTAGCTTCAGAGAGTAGGGCTCTGTGTTAGAGCTTAACATCTGATTTTTTTGTGCTCTTTTTGCAAAAGTATGATTTTGATTATTACTCTTTTTCCTGTACTTCAGCTGATCCTTGAGTGGTTTCTCTTAACTGCATCTGTTGTCCACCTCTGCTTCAGTATAAATAAATCCCTAATCCTCTGAACCTACCCCAGCCTCCCATGTCTCACATACCCATGCCCAGAAGTCTGAGGATTTGAATCCCATAACTGGCAGAGTAATCATACTATTATTGGATCCTTAAGGCTGTAAACCACAAGAAGTCCAGTTGAAATGGATGCTGACTGATCCTGCACTCTCACTCCAAGATTATCACTTTGGACAGAAGCTTCCAATGAATAAATGAATGTAAAGCATCTTACATCCAGAAAAAAATTTGATTCCATTCTGGAATCTTATGCAAGTTTCCATGTGATAAATGGATGAGGCTAGCTGGGTCTGGTTAATGGAGTTTGCAGGTCTGCTAAAGTCAGGCATCATGTTTTGGTGCTAGCGAACATCATAACAACACAGCTACAGTTTCATTTGTATTTTCTTCTGACAGCTGGAAAAACATATGAGCAATATAATTTTCTTGATGACAATTAGCTAGCTTGGTGCAAAGTGAGCTTCAAAAAACAAAAATGCAGGTAGCTTCTTTGTGTCAAATGCAATCGGGTCATTGACGTGGCAACATTCACAATTAAGAAGTACTTTTAGTTATTAGCCGAATAATGGTCTTCTATTTCCATGTTATCTGTTTTGGATGCAGCATAAAACGGACCGTAAACATTTACCCTCCTCTATTGTCTGCACCTTTTTGGGTGTCAAATGATACTTGCATTTTAAACCCGCTTTCATTCCGCATTCCTCAGCTCCTAAGTTTTATTTAAATCTGCCACCAGACAGATTTAAATGTTCTGCCAGGTGTGACACCAACCATGCAGTCTTTTCTTTTCTACCATTAACCCACCTGCGCAGGGGTGGGGGGAGTTGCCAAGCAACTCAGCTGGGGGTAAAGCCGGAACTGAAAAGCAAAGTCAGGGTCACTATCATAAGCAAAACAATATGATCAAAAAGCTAATGACTCTTAGCAGAGAGAGCTCTGGAGGATTAGTCCGTTAGTGTGACTTACAGGTCCAAAATAAGCCATAGCACAGATGCAACAGAAACAAAGAGCTATTGTTAGACAAA